GGAAACACTCCGCAGCTTAGCTAACAACTTAGGCCACACTTTGTTCACACTCCCGAGTTGGCTCGGGTCAAGGACACGGTAGGTTCGGCTCCATTCCAAAAGATGTTCAAAACGAATATTATACGCTGGGTCGTCAGACATAGCATGATCAAGAGCAAGGAGGGTAGTGGTACAACAGCCTGCATGCCATCGTCCTGTCGCCTTGGCAGCCTGGGCACGGAGAGCACGCATACGTGAAGGTGGTGTGCCAAGGACTTGATGGCTCCATGTGCCAACAGCAACCACTCCAGGCTTAAACAACTTGCGAGCACGACGATTGACATGAGACAGAAACGTGAGCTTCTTACTGCGAATTCGTGCCTCTTCGTTACGCTGATTCATTTTCCACATCGTCCTCCTCCTCCCCGCCGTGGTCCCAACTCCCAAGTCCTTCACAGAATCAACAACCTTAAGCGGAATATTCAGCTCGTCACAAAGAGCCTGGAAGGGGCGACCAACCTGCCGAGAAAAGGCGACGACACACGACTTCGACGAGATCTTACACCCACGGTGTTTCAAAACATCACAAAGTTCACGCGCAGCAGGCACCAGTTTGGTAAGGATGTCCTGCACAGAGCCTTGGATGCACTGGGTAAGGTCGTCAACATAAGCCGAGATAGGAACACGAGGGACACGACAGTGTGCCGCCTCCAAGATATCATAGAGATAACATTTTATCCATGGTAGGGACTGGGAACATCCAGCTAAAATGGATTGGCCAGCCTGCATCACTCCCGACACCAGGGACTGGACCTCGAGGAGCCTGGGGGAGGTGTGGATCAGGAGGCCCAGGTAGAGGAGCAGGGAGGAGTAGTCGACAGCCTGAGCCAAGCCGATGAGCTTACTTGGGTCGATGGTGTCAAAAAACTTCTCCATATCCCAATGGCCAGAAACAGAAAACACTCCCTCCACCCGAGCACACTCGTGCAAAACCTCACGAAGCATGGCGGCCCTCAGGGCCGAGGAATTCTTCACAGCCGCATCCCAGAAGGCGACGTGAGAGTCGGTCCAGTTCTGGATTTTATCCCCTCGGATTCGGGTATACAGTCGGTAGAGGGTGGGGCACTTAGTGATAGGTCTTTCAGACGTGGACGTCTTGGGCAGGAGGGTAACCAAACAGAGGTAGACCTGCTGGGGAAACTCAAGGGCATACTCGATGCCATTAAAGATGGTGGCCAGATGATCGAGGGCTTCACCAGGGAGCCGCATCAGATCGCGAGGGGACCACCCGTCCACGCCAAGGGCCGTGTCGGCCGAGAAACACTTGCAAGCCGTGAGCACGTCTTGGCCCTCAATGCTGCGAGCCTCAAGAGACTCAAGCTCGGCAACAGGACGGAGGCGCCGCATAGCATACTCAAGATCACAAGCTTGCCTACTCGTAGGCGTCCACCAGGACGCCCAAATCTGCTCTCGATATCTCATCAGCTCTTGGGGGGTCTGAGCAACGAAAGTGGGGGTAACAAACATTTCAACCTCTTTCTTGGCGTCAGAACGCAACCAACGGTGGACCACTTTCGCTCCCCCCGCGAGTCCCTTGGAGAGCCAGGCCTGGATGCCGAGCCGATTAGCTTTCCGAGCTGCCGTCCAAGCGCGGCGAAGGACGGGGACAAGAGCTTCCTGGATGACAGCGAGCTTACTTGGGTCACCTGGAATGTCTTGCAACCACCCTGTCCATACAGCAGCTTGCCGAGCGTCGGCAAGGCCTTCAAGGTGTAGCCCCACCTCGTCACCACGCGCTCGGAGGAGAGTCCTGAGAGCGGTGACCTGGGTGGTGCCTCCTCTCTTCAAGGCAACAGCAAAATCGTACAGGCGGGACGATATCCGCGTCCAAAAAGCCAGGCAGGGGTGGGAGAAACCTTGCTTCATCACTCCTCGTGTAGGAAGGGTCCGCTCCTGCACAACTACAGCTCTGCCCCTGCGCCCCCCCGGCGCAGGCCAGGTAGAGAGGGAGCGGGAGCAAAACAGCATTTCCGCAGCAGTGGACCACTTTTGATAGGCTTCCGAGAGTCCTTGGGAGTGGAGGGGCCAGTGAAACTCGAGGAAAGCTCCACGGACTTCGCGAGGTATCTCCACAACTTGGTCACCAGCACGGTGGACAAAATCACTCCATTGCTGATCAGGCCCAGGGTGGGCCCCTATTGGAACTGGTCGATCACGTTTCATCACGGTGTCACGGAGAACCTCGAGCGACATCTGCACATGCAAACAGGCGTGCGTCTTAAAAGCGGAGCTCCAATCCGCATCGATCGTCAGGTATGGGCGGATGTCCCGCGACACGACTGCATAATCAATCAGGCGGCCAGTGCCTTTGTCACATGTAAAGTCAGTGTTGCGGGGGTCCACCGTGACGCCAGAGACAACCTCACAGAAACCACATTGGTGCAACTCAAGGGGCTCCATGTTGAAATCTCCCAAGAGGATCCACGGGCACTCAAGCATCCCCAAGAACTCAACCACTTCA